GTTGTAATCCCCATGGACTTAGTACCACCTATTCACCCTTGTGCCATCACCACAGTCCAGTGCACTCTTCCCATCCCAGGTCCAATCCCATTCCCCCTTCCACTCCCATAAAATGTTGGTTTATAATATAACTAGAGCCTTTTAAAATACTTATGTGATACAGATGTCATCTTCTTAGGTTAAAAATATGATTTTATTTTTCCCCCAGTTGTCTTACTTAATTTATTTTTATTATTTAGGTGACATTGGTGTACAGCACTGTACATGATTTAGGGAAACAGGTTGAAATGTATATCACCACACCACACCCACCATTAAAGCACCCCTGCTCCTTTCCTTAGTCCACTGCGTCCCTCTCCCCTTTGTTCCCAGCCTCCCTTTCCTGTAGCCTCAATTGTACAGTCATATTTCTAGTTTAGCCTCGGTTGTGAAGTCATATTTTATCTCTTAATTTCTTTTGTTTCTCTATATTCCACAATATGAGTGAAATCATCTTTCTCCTGATTTATTTCACTTAGCATATACTCTCCCATTTCATCCATTTTGTCTCAAATGGCAAGATTTTATCATTTTTATAACAATGTACAGAAAATAGAAATCAAAACTTTAAATAAGAAATCCCCAAATGTTTTCAGTTTAATTCATTGACTTTCAATATGCCAACCAAACTTGTTTTGATCATAAATGTTGAATGGCAATCTTAATGTTGTCACTTTAAAATTTTGGATAAAACAGTTTGATTTACAGTGTTTACAAGAGAATATTGGGTAATTTTATGAATCATTTTGATGATGTCTATTTTTCTGGTGTGTTAGTTCATGCTAAAAATATAGTCTGCATCTTAATTTTTCTTACAAAAATGTTCACTTAAACTTCAGGTTTTTAATTAATATGTAGAAAATTGAAATTAATTTACATTTTAAAATGACAGTAGGTTTTAGTTTTGATTTCCAAATTTTAAAATTCTAGTGAATAGACTATAAACTATGGCTAAAATAACAGTTGTTGCTTAGCTGCTATGAAATAATTTTATTATGCTGTAACCTAAATAGATAAGTTTTCTGGTAAATGAGATTATTATATGTGTCAAAAATAATGGAAGTTACTTTTTCTGTGAATATTTGTAAAGATTATATGAATGGGATGAAATCACATTATAAACATACAAATATACAAAAGTCTATATGTAGGAATCTCCTTCTATTTCTCCTTCCCAATCTTACTCACATTCATAGAATTTCTTGATTTTATGCATACTGAAAACTGCATATTTGATCATATATAAATAAGTTGCTTTGTTTGATTTTTACATAAACATTTATGTAAAAATACAAATACGTGTATGTATATATTTCTGCAGCAACTTGATTTATGCATTAATAAAAGTATTCCTTCGAGTTCCTTTTGTGTTGCTACATAACACTCTTTCATTTTAACAACTACAGAGTATTTCTTTACATGCCATAATTTACTTAAATTCATCCCCCCCCAATTTTTACAATTATAACCAATATTACAGTGAAAACATTTGCACATACATCTTGATGCATATATGTGGCAAGTGCTGTGACAATAATGCCTAGAAATTTCCAGAAATTTCCAGAAATTTTCTTTTATTTGAGAGGGAGCTGTGCCACTACAGAACCCCCACATCAAGTTTTCCTTCGAAATTATCTTTGGGAGATAATTTCTCTTTGTTCCCAGGTCCAAACTACCTGGGAGTGCTTGATCCGGTAACCTGTCCCTTATGCTCTTTTAGCTATAATTATTTCCTGTTGCATAATGAGGCTGGAAGATCAGACGCCTGACATCATTACAAGTTCTGCTGAGGGTGTCTGGGGGACCAGCGAGACAGCAACTCAGAAGTACATTTTCTCAGGGACATGCTAGTTCAGCGAAGTGGAAACTAATTTTAGTACTGTGTTGTAGGTACTTTACACTGTTAGTAGAACTGAATTTACACTATTAGTAGACAAGAACTGAGGTCTTGTTGAGGAAGAACATTGCTTTAGTCAATAAAAAGTGCAAATCGTTTATTTTAAATAGTTTTTGAGTCAGTAATCACAGGCTGGTTACTTCTTATCAGAATATTTGTATGTGTTTTAGATTCTTTATTTAAATTTTTTATCCTAGTTGAAAATTTGTCAAAGTCAAAAATATTAGTAAAGTCAAAGATTTCTAATTAATCATCAGGTTTTCCTATTTATTCTTGATTCAATATTCTCAGTTGTTGCCGAATGGCTATTTCCAGTTCATTTCAAAAACAATTCAATTTTATTTTATTTCCCATCCCTTGTTTATAACATTCATTTGTCATTTTTGTCATTTTGTAGACCTACCAAGAGCAGCTGTCAGGATCTTAAGCAACATGACATTCCTTTTTGTGAGTTTGTCATACACAGCTGAGAGTGCCATTGTAACTGCTTTCATTACCTTCATTCCCAAGTTCATCGAGTCACAGTTTGGTATTCCAGCTTCCAATGCCAGCATCTACACTGGTAAGGCACTGACATTAGAGCTCCTTGAAAACATGATCATTTTGATCACTAAACTGAAATGCAATGACTAAAGACAAAGTTCATTCTAACGTAGAAGTATTAAATAAGTCCAATAACAGCAAGCTTCCCCCAGATTTCAGAAGGAGGAAGTCTTTGAATGTTTTCTTTTTGATGCATACTGTATTAACGTGTGATATTTTTACCAACTGTATTTTGGAAAGGGAGAATGTTGAGCATTTATCTTTTATGATTCTCAGTTAAAATAGGCAATGGCATTCAAACTTAAATCTGAACATGTTTTTCTCTACAGGTTTATTTGAGTCTTAAAGCAGTATATTTTTAAAAATCGATAATGCTAAATATAGCTCAGTTCAATGGAGTTAGGACTTCTTTTATTTTTGTGTTTTTATGATTTTTTT